CCCATGAGAAACAGCCAGAAGATGTATTTTTCCAATGTACATTGTGATGGGTTCACGGGAAGCAGGCTCCTGTGTTGGACGGCAAGGGCACTTGCTCACTGCTGGTCAAAATGTAAAGTGGTGCAGCTGCCATGGAAAACAGTAGGTGGGCCCTTGAAGAATAAAACAGAATTGCCATATGAAAATTCTCTGTATGTATATATGTATGTGTACACACACACACACGTCCTTGAAAATGGGAAACCAGAGAGCAGTGATATGTGTTCACCCATATGGCCCAACTTGCATTGCTCCCATAATCCTGATATTTTTCAGAAACAAATATTATTCTATGAATAATAAGTAATATATTGCAAATGGCACAGGATCATGCTATGGAGCAGTATACAAATACTAGTAACACTTATAGGGAATATATTAATCACTTTCTTGTTGATATGACAAGAGCAACATAAGAAAGGAAGGATTTATTCTCAGTTACAATTTGAGGGTATAGTCTATCATGGCATGAAGGTCACTGCAGCAGAGGCATGAGGCAACTGGTCATGTGCTATCCACAGTAAGGGATTGGAGTTAATGAGTGTTGGTGCTCAACTAGCATTCTCTCTCTCTATGTGTGTGTGTCTCTCTCTCACACACACAGGCACACCCTTCCCCAGTATAGGATCCCCAGCCCAACAAATGTTGGCTACCAGATTTAGGGTGGTTCTTCCCTTCAATTAAACTAGAGACTCCTTCCGAAACATGACCTGTAGTTTGTGATTCTAGGTACCATCAAGTTTCAACACGAACACATGAAGGTGGGATCCCTCAGGCACTACTGACAATCCTGCTACACTCCAGCCAGAGCATTCCCTGATTCCAGGGTCTGGCATTTAGGGAGGATATTTTAGTGAATTTACACTCTTAAAGAAGTACCAAAGAAGACATATGGAGCTAATGAATTACAAGTCCAAATGTCATCATAGTATCTTCTGACAGCAATCTGGGATACAGTTAGACAGCTGGCAAGCCTTTATTATGCAAAAGCCTTAAAGATGGAGTTTTAAATTTTTTTTTTTAAGATGAGTATACTATGGTGCTAGCTAGGGGCCCAGAAGATATGACTGAGAGGTGTCAAGTTTAACAAACATAATTCTTCCAGCAAAATGTCAAACACTTTTGAGTTAACAAATGCAGTCACAATCTGGACAGAGAGAAAAACAGTTCACCTCATTTTTAGAAGACACGCTGCTTCCACCCACCAAAGGAGTCACTGTTCTCCTGAGGCTGCTAGAATGCCACAGTAAAAGGTAACATGTACCATGAGAGATCACTCTTTAGCCTCTGGAGCTGAGAGGCCTATCAGACATACAGTATGGACTGGGCATCAGGTTCCAAGAGTACGGAGCCCAGAAGTCCTGAGTCACATGATTATGCACAGTGGTTCAGATCCAACTTTCTGGAAGCAAACCACCCAGGTTAACACCCAGGCTCCACCTTTCTAGTCACATCACTTTAAAATAACAGTAGCTGACTTACCATCAGCTACTGGTCTATAAAAGGAAGAAAATATACTGCATGAAAACTGTTACTTTGTAAAAGACTTAGCATGGCATCTAATATTCCTTCTGAGTTTGGAAATGCTAATTTATTGAAGTCATGTGCTATGGAGAAAGGAAGTACAAAGCAAGGAGCAGAAGAATAGAGATGCATCCTTAAGGTGTGGTGTTCCATTAGATGGCTTCTCCAATGATTCTTCACATTACCAACACCCACCCTGGAGGTGTTACAGTGTACCCATCAATCCTTTGACATTCCTCTTCCTGGGAGATGAGATTGTATCACTTCTCCCTTGCAAGTAGGTGGACCTCTATGACCATTTCAACTACCATCATCTGCCATGAGTAGAAGTGATTGGTCCTATCTAGGATGCTGAGACCTACAATGATTAGCTGCCATGTAAGCAGCTTAGTGCTGAAATTAGCCATGTTGTGAGGAAGCAGACAGAAGACAAGAAAAAAGGTGGCCCCGGGCAATTATTGCTGCTTTAGTCATAAACAAATAAAGATTGCTCCTAAAATAGAACCAACCAACAAATTCTTTCTGAATTCCAGACACTGTGACCGCACATGAAACAACTGCCGTTGTGCTAGGAAGGCAGCTCAGTGGATAAGAGGACTGAAATTCAAATGTCAAACACCATGTGTGCGCATGGTCACATTACCTTAAATACAGCACTGAGGTAGATATCAGGAACTTGCTGACCTGTCATCCCAGCTTGAATAGAGGCTTCAGGTTCCAAAGAAAGGCCTTGTCTCAAAAAGTGATGTAGAGAATAATCCAGGAAGACATCCAAGGTCTTCCTCTTACGCCTACACATTCATTCATGGGTATGTGCATGTGCTCCCAGGTGGTCATTAAGCTCCCCACATGACTGATACTGCCTTAAGTAATCAAATGTCAGTCAACCGACCACACAGCAACAGGGAAGAGCATCTATACCAAGTACATGACACTCATTTGCTACCCACAAACTCATTTCATCAAGCCCACTGGAAAGAGGATGTTTTTACTTTCATATTAGTTCAAGAGGAAAAATGAATTGTCTGTGCATATGGGTTCAATGAGGAATACTAGAAGGACTCATATTTGAGATTCTTGCCTCCAGTTCTAGCAATTTGTTGTTGTTACATCACAGTAAATTCCTGGAAAGGTCAAAATGGAGAAGCACAAGAAAAACACACATGCTTTTGCACACATGGAAGAGAGAAGATGAAAATAGATCATTCAACTCTGAGGCAAACAGAATCCAGCCTCTGCTGAAATGGTACTGCTTGAGCAACAGAATATGCAGGGATAAATGGACAGCTGGCTGAAGGTCGCATAATTAGGAGAGGATGAAAGGGCACAGGTACTGGAAAGGCTGGTAGTTCTGTCACCAGCTAGCTCTTCTGACAGCCTGGAAGTCATTATGGTAGTTTTCAGAAACACTTGTCAGACTTAGTAGAAGTTTCAGTGTGACCACAGATTACAGAAGTGTCCTTGGCAACATGGCCTTGTCCTCTGATGAGATGTCAAGATGAGCTTTAGCATTCATCACAGAAAAGTGCAAGAATGAAGAGAGGTTTCTATTTTGACCCCAGGGACTGTCGTTTCTCCTTTATTTCTTTGGCTTTTTTGCAAAAACCTTTGCCAAATGCTAACAACTGGACATGAACTGCTTGTGAGAATATAACTATGGCAGAGCCTCCACTCCATGTGTGGGGGGCAAGTCACAGGGAGGTAAGTCACCGTGAGAATCACAGCCTTCACATAGAGGTATGGAAGGCCAGAGCAGTACCAGAGTTCATCCAGAATAGTTTTAAAAAGAAGATTTTAGGGTCTAAAAGGTAATGTGACCAATAGGTACAGAAAAAGAAAAGAAAAGAAAAGAAAAGAAAAGAAAAGAAAAGAAAAGAAAAGGAATAAAGGTAACCCTCAGGTACAAATCAAAACACTGGAAACTGTGCGTCAGCAGGTTAGGGTCTAAATCAGTACACCACTGTTTTGTTTCAAACAGCAATGTTATGCCTTCGTAAATGATTTTCAAATAGTTCATCATATCTCACAATCACCTGGACAGAGTGTTTTAAAATACCCACATTCATGGGTCTTACTCCCACAGATTTCCCATAAATTGGATGAGGGAATGTGCTGTGGATAGGCATTTTGCTTTTGCTGGGGTGTTTTTTGTTTTGGTTTGGTTTTTGAATCACAGCAACAGAAAGAAAACAGAACAGCCAGCTTCTACACACCTTCCCACTGGGGCATGTTCCAACCAGGCTTGTATTAGACCAGAAACCCCAGCATCCTCTCCTTGTCATTTCTTGTTTCAGGTATCCTCTCTTGATGTCAGATTTCTATACAAGTCCAGCTTCATTACTTAATAAGCCCTCACTGCATGCGGCACAAAGACTGTGCTGTCAGCATCACTAACAAACCCATTTGTGGGGCAGATGCTATGGCTTAAAGTGAGCTGTGACTCCAGGGTGGATAAAGCCTAATGTTACTTATTCTAAGAGTCAGCATAAGAAAAGCCAGAAAGTATTATCTGTACTTGGCTAAAAAACATAAATTACCATAATTGAAAGCACATTAAGTGTCATCAGCATGAGAATGAGGCCAGAATTGGCCTAGGATGTTCATAGCTGAGGCACACACCAGTTCCATGAGGTTAGGCAAAGTGTTCAAGTACTCAAAGCAGAAACTACCAAAGCTGAGTTCTTATTCACCTTGCTGCTCGCAAGCATTTGTATAACTCATCTACACAGTAAAATCAGAGGAAGCAGGAAATGAGCTTGAGTGTGTTGTGTGTGGGGGTATACCCAGGTACATGTTTTTGGTGCATATATAGACATGATTAAAAGAAAATGAGGGTGGCAGGCACAGTACAGAAAGATGGATAAGTACCATAAGAGTCCAAAGATTCATTAAGAAAGGATGTACACTCCAGGGAGAAAATGGTACTAAGATATGAAACCTCAAAGGGTGGCTTTTGATAGGCAACACAACTCTAGTTATGAATTGAAGACGTTGTCACACACAGAAAAAAAAAAAAAAAAAAAAAAAGAATGAAGGCCAAAGGAAGTTCATGAAAGAGATGTACCTCTGGGTATAGAGCTATACCTCTGTGACACCGCTGCTGAGCCATCCACACTATAGTGTACAGATCTGGGTTCCTGTAATGAAGGTGTAGAAACCTGAGCATTTCCTAATGAACCACGGAGAAACCTGTAACAGGTTCCATTGGTTATGCTTCTGTAGAGAAGGTTTTCTTACCCTTGTTTACCAGATGGAGAACTGAAGTAAAGTGATGTTAAAAGACTTTGTGGGCATTCAGCAAAGTTCATGAGCAATCTGGTTTTACACCGAATTAAGAAATCCAGCTCTTTCCAGGTTCCTGGCTGTGCTTCCAGGAGGCGTTTGCAGGAACGAGCAGTTACTGGGGATCTGGGTAGTCACTTCTCCCAGCTCCTTACCTCACACTTTTCCACAGCCGGCTGCTGCCCACACTCAGAGCTGTTGCCCGCCACGATGCCAGCCCGTAGGTTCTCACTGTCCCCTGTTCCCTCCTCCATAGAGTAAGTCTTAGAGTGGTTCCCACGTCGGTGAGCAGGGCCCTGACCCTGGGCCAGGCTGAGCTGCCTGCGTAGAGCACGGTTTTCCTCCTCCACCTCTCGCACACGCACCTCCAGGCTCTCCCGCTCCCGTTGGCTGGAGTCAGCGTACCGGGGGCTGTGGGCTTGGGACTCCAGTGGAGACAGAGATACAGGTTTCCCATCTAGGGGAGAAGAGACCAAGGAAGTATTCTTAGTAAATTTGCTAAGGAACCCCAGCATTAACGCTCCAGGCTCTTGCCACAATCCCACTGTTAAGCCAGAAAGCAGATGACTGTGAATCACAGGTCACAGCACCCATACTGAAATGGGAAAAAAAGTGAGAACAGAATGGGTTTTTTATGGTGATAAACATCCAGATACACTGTAGAGAAGGACGTTCCCAATACTGCTCCTAACTAAACCCAATGCTGTCCTCTCCATACAACATGTCTGCAAGTGAACATTTTAACAAGAAATCACGAACATATATGGATGAAGGGGAATAGAAAACTTGAGATGGGGAGCTCCAGAATGTAGAAGAGAGCAAAAGGAAGAGGATGAAGTGATGTTCCTCTAAAGTGAACTCCTAAGCTACCTTCCAAACCCTGTTTTGAAAGCATCATCTCTCATGGGAAACCTTCCTCTGACTGTACACTGTTATTTATGAATATACGTTTTCAAGGCTAACCATTTGTGTGTGCGTATATAATCTGAAAAGTACCACTTCCCAACAGACAATCAACATATCTCCATGTATAAAGCCAGTGCTCAGTGCATGCTGACTATTAGGAATTCCACAAACACAAGACACACCCAAAGCTGTCTTCCCTTTTTTGTTCCTACTCTGCTGATGCCCCGGGATCCAGGCAGAGGGAACTTCTCGCAGAGGCTTCCAACCCATAACTCTCATGACTGAAGAATGACCATCTCTCTTGCCTGCTAAAATGCACTTCTGTTTTTCCACAACCCAAGTTGTCTTGCTTGTAGCCCAAGCCAGGCTGGGATTCCAAACTACCCCAGAGAGGATCAAAGCTGGGGATGAATCATGTGCCATGTATTCACCTGTGCTTCCCATGCCTCTGCCAGGGCATCTGACACCCTTTAAAGATAACTTCTATTTTATCTAGCCCCTAATCACTTTAGAGTTAACTGCATACACTCCCAACCCTATCAACGCAACAAAAAGGTCCCTTTAATTTCCACTGCTCTGAACTACAAATTGAAGGTTGAGGCAAAGCCTGCAAGGGACATGAAGTGCACTCTAACTGGGCTGGTTAATTACAAGCCCCCTCCCCAACTTTTGAAATCAGCCTCCATGTTTCCTCCCACTGAGTGAATTAAACAGCAAAGGAGAAAGGGCTTGCCTGACAATCTGAGGTTTTCCTTGGTACACCAAGCTTTGGGTGAATACCTGTGATCCCAGCACTTAGGAGGATCAAGAGCTCAAGGTCATTCTCAGATACAGAGTTTGAAGGTAGCCTGGGCTACATGAGCTCCTGTCTTTTTATTATTACTATTATTATTATTATTATTATTATTATTATTATTATTATTATTATTATTTTAAAGGTAGGTAGCCAAAATGCCTTAGTGAACATGGAGCCTATAGTTGGATAAATGAAGACGAACACTTTAAATTAGCAAGAGACAGCAGACTCCATGTCATGTGCAAGTCAGGGGTTTCTTGCACACTCCATTCTACATACACATTGTGCCTTAATTATCGAAGCACAAGGCAGCCACTATGCACAGACAAGGAGACTAGAGTTTACAGTACGAAAGTTCACAGTGAGAACCAACAGGAAATAAAAACTCTCCTCGATGCCACACCTGGCCATGGCCCCACATATGGGGCTGAGTTCAAGGTCTCTGGACCTAAGAAGGCCACCTCTCTCATGAAAGGAATCAGGAACATGAGCACAGAACCAAGGAAGCTCTAAAGGCCCACAGTCCTGAAGGACTCTGGAAACGTAGAAAAAAGACTTAGCAGTTAGCTTTAATGCTCTGAGCTTCAAATGCCTTCGGTGAAACAGGAACATGAATGGGAGCACAGAAATAAGGTTGGAGGCTTGAATAAAAGTTCAAACAAAATGTGCCTCTATCTATGAGGCCCCTGGTACACAGCAGTTCTAATAACTCCCATCCCAAAGAGGTAAGTAAGATGAGTTTTTAAATGGAATTTATGGTATTAGAAAAAAAACTGCAGATGTTCTGAGCATAGGATTGCATTATGTGGGAAGGTGGCCACAAGCCTTGGAATCTGCCACCTTCTTTTCCCTGGCTTTCACTACATCAAGATGCACACATAGGAAAAAGGAAAAAAAATGAAGGGAGGTCTGTTACCAGGTTCCCTTCCTATCCTCTTATTTCTTTCTTCACAGCCACACAAGCCTGTTTATGAAAATTACAGGCTTTACTCATGTGCTTATGAAAAATGACATTCCTGTCAAGTTTCCAGCCTGAACTAGGCCCCATTTTGTTTTAACTAATCTTAATTCTCAAACATTTGCAGGTATTTTCTCGCTTTTCAGAACTCTATCAATTCGTAACCTATAAGTACACAGAAAAACAAACAAAAGGCAATCTTCTGTGAGAAGAAATGACACTTAAAAGAGCAAGAGTAACATTGTCCCCAGAGCCTGGAACTGAAAATGTGCCAATGGTGGACATGAGAGTCATTTCTGGTCTGTTTTGAGGCCACACCACCTTGCACAAACCCCTGCCTTTTTACCATTTTCTTCTTTGAAAAAGAGAAAAACTGGGTGTGGTGGCACAGATCTCTAATACCAGCAAGGTGGGCAGATCTCTGAGACTCTGAGGCTTAGCCTTGTCTACATAGTGAGTTCTAGGACAGCTAGTGAGATCTTGTCTCGAAAACAAACAACCAAACAAACAAAAAACCAAAACTACCACCACAACAAAACAAAAAATGAAAAATAAGGAAATCATGAAATTTGCAGGTAAATGGTGGGACCTGGAAAGGATCATCCTGAGTGAGTTGTCCCAGAATAAAAAAGACACGCATGGTATATACTCACTCATATAAACATACAACATAGAATAAACCCACTAAAATCTGTACATCTAAACAAACTAAGCAAAAGAGAGGACCCTAACTAAAAATGCTCAATCCCCATCCTGAAAGGCAAAGAGGATGGAGATCAGAGGAAAAAGAAAACAGGAAACAATCTAGGAACCTGCTACAGAGGGCCTCTGAAAGCCAGAAGAAGAAAACAGGAAACAACCTCGGAACCTGCCACAGAGGGCCCCTGAAAGCCTCTGCAGTGCAGACTGTCAAAGCAGAAGCTGAGCCTGATGGCCAACTGACGGGCAGAGTGAATGGAATTTTATGTAAGAAGCGGGAAATAGTAGGAGCTGGAGAGGACAGGAACTCCACAAGGAGAGCAACAGAACAAGAAAATCTGAACACAGGGAACTTCTCAGAGACTCATACTCCAATCAAGGACTATCCGTGGAGATAACCTAGAACCCTGACAATGCAGCCACTTCTGATGAGAACTGATAGACTAAGATCAGAAAGAAGGAGAGGAGGACCTCCCCTATCAGTGGACTTGGGGAGGGGCATGTATGCAGAAAGGGGGGGAGAAGGTGGGACCGGGAGGGAAGGAGGGAGGGGCTTATGGGGGGGGATACAAAATGAATAAAGTGTAATTAATAAAAGTTAAAAAAAATAATAAAAAAAAGATAAGAAAAAAAGTAGAAGAGGGAAATGCAGAGGCCTCTCAGCTTTGGCTTCCTGTGCAGAGAAACCCCGTGGTCACCTGGCTATCCAGTCTCATCACTGAACAACCAGAAGTCAGTGCTAGGAGGTCCAGTGGTTTTGCCATGCTGACAGCCTCCTTCCTCTCCTCGATTCAGATTGTTTTGTTTGCTCCGGGTGTGCTGCCTCCTAACTGTGCTCATTACGCTTCCTCCAACCTTTAGTGAGGGGTAACAACAGTGAAAAGCAACACCCCGAGTGGTCACAGCCTCCTTTTTGGGTACACATTATGGGTTAGACTCCATAATTAGATTCCATTTAAAACCTTGACCACAGACTTCCAGAAAGGAGTGACAGCTGTATACTGGTTCACGTTGAGTGTCCAGTTTGCTGACTCAGTTGCAGATCTGCCATAGGCCTCATCACTCTAGTCTGTCATGTACATTCGCTCTGTGTGTGTGTGTGCGTATGTGTCTGTGTGAGAGAGAGAATATCCAAGAACATGTTATCAGTGCATACACACACATTATTCAAAGATGGTGAGGGGCAGGCACTCTCATGTAAGTGTGTCCATAAACATATCCATACATGGTTCTGCTTCTTTGGAGGCATCTGACCAATACAAGGACTACAGGAATCTACCAGTCCCACCTTGGGGGACACTGCCTGAAACTCAGTCTCTGGAGCCACAGGTCCTGGCACCTTTGCTGCATTTAATAGGGACGTGAAGAAGAGACTGAGAGAAGAGTTCATGGCCTCTAGAGATAAAATATTTAAAAAGCCATGAAAAATATAAGCCTAACATATTTCAAACTACCTGTTATATAATGAGAAATTATAATAGTTCATGTTGAAGAAAGAGGGAGAAACAATGGAAGCTACCACAAAATCCAAAGGAATGGAGCGCATGGCATTAAGAATACCTGAGCTTGAACCATGGCCCTCTATTTACTACTTAACAGACTTTAGCCAAGTACTGCACTTTTCAGTGGCTCTGTAAGTAAATGCGAAGACAAAGCCATGGCTCTATGTACACATTACGCAGCACTGAGACTCAGCTGAGGTTATGTAATATCTTTCTTCCCTTTTCCTTCAGTCTCACCCCAACTGTAACCCAAGATGTAAGATAATAAAGTGCAGTGAACCAGGCCCTGTACCTTTGTTCCCTGTTGCCCTTCCCTCCCAGACTTGGCTGTTTCAATCTGCAATCTATTTCTATACACAGTGCATCTTTCTGTGACATAAGGGTTCATGTGTTGATCTAATTCAGCCCACTTTCAGTTAGAAATGTCAAACAAGATATTACTCAAATCCTCAGTTGACAACCTCTTTCTCCTCCCTACAGACGTCTAAACAAGCAAGAATTTATCATCGGATTTGAATCTCTGAATCCACTTGAGATGAATGCTCTGAATAAAAAAGCAAAACACCTAAGATTCAGAACAAAGAAGGGAAATTGAA